CCCCCCCCCCCCCCCCCCCCCCAATCATTCCTTTTGTCTTTACGTAACACCTTCAACAACATAATAAGCCCCATTCTGCTTCTAACTCATGTTTAGTTTCTACCCAGCTAACACAAGTAATTAGACCCCATCCCTGTGAAAATGATGTGCAACCACACACACTAAACCTTTCTGCTGCTGGTCCCAATCTGATGTATGCAAGTGGATTATCCAGTATAGTGAGGTGGTAAATGGAATAATCAGAGGAGAACAAACATTCAAATTGTCAGTGTCTCAGGCACGATGAGAGGATACAGGCTTCATGTTTGTAAATACACTACTTATACCACTCGAGCTGTGACATCCATTTACCCAGGGGAGGGGGAGGTGAGCTTTAAACATTCTGGTATGCGTCCTCAAAAAGCAGCACAAAACAATTGAGGAAACTTTTGGGAAATTGCCTGTTGCAGCTTCTGTCCAAATATTTTAACTCCTTCTTTTTCAACATTAGAAATATCTTCTCTGATCGCAAGGCCCAATCATGGAATTCTGCAAAAGAGTCATTTAAATCAAAACCTTAACCTTTAATACCCTGCAATGGTCACTGTCAGGAAATTCCTGAATTCTTTTGTCTGTCCCCGTGTCTCTGTGTGTATTTCCCTGCACACACATATCAGCTGCTGCAAGGGTTCTTCTTGACTTTTCAGAGTTTTGCACGATCGTGTCCAGAGGCACAGAGGGATCTTTTGGCTTCATTTGCATGTAAAGTGGAGCGCGCTCTTCTATGGGCGTGAGGGGCCTCCAGACAGCCCCTCCCCTGTGGCCTGCCAGACTGAGCCAGCCAGCAGCCCTCACTCTTCCCCTACCTGCTGGGGTGGGGCATGACAGCACAGTGCGCAACATCTTAAGGTCCTGTCAATCTCTTCACTGCCCGACTGGGGTCAACCTTGTGAAGAGCAGCAGGTTGGCAAGGACAAACATGACCCATTCACAAAGACTCCCCTCAGCCAGACAGACAAAAGGCATGGACAAGATATTAAAAAGGCTCACGGAGCGGCTGCTGAGTATCAAATGCAGCGATTGCAATGCTCCTGGCACTGTATAAGTATCCAATAAAATAAAAGTATAGGGATAAGTATAGGGAGCTAATAAACAAGTAGGATAAAGAGACTGTGTGTAGACAAATGCACTGAGAGTGGCACTTTGCGAAAAAGTCAATGTTGATGGAGGTTGCTGGGCATTTCGGGAGAGTGTTGAAACCGTCTTATCAGAGTTAATAAAAGGAGAGGGTGTTGCTGGCTGACCCATCATCTCTCTTCTCATCAGTGTGGTCTCCAGTCTCACAGCAGTGGCTAGAGGAGTGGGACCTGGCTCCAAGATTGTGTTTAGATAATGGCCATCTCCAATCATAGATAATCTGGCCCCATCTTTTCTTCACAGACACAGCGGCAGACAAGGTCAGGGGGAAAAAGATTCCTGGCGAGGCAAGGAGGAGATAGGGATGGGGCGGCTCTGAGATGATTTACTGCTGAGATTCACTCAGCTGCCTCCATCACCCTCCGTTAACTTTCTCATCCTGTCGTCTCTTCCCCTCTCGCTCTTTTTGTCTTCCATCTTTCACTCTCTTGCATTCCTCCATGGGCCTTGTACTGAATCCCCACCTCTCTCTCTATCACTCGCTTCATCTCTCCCTTTGCAGTGCAATACCAATGAGACAGAAGGAAGGAAAAAGAGAAAGACAGGAGGCAATAGAGAGAGAGCAAGAGATGTCTACTTTTCCTCATTTCTGCCCCTTTTGAGTTGAGGAAAATTGCTTGGGTTTCAAGTAGAGATATAGTATCATGTCTGTTCCTGCACTGACCACCGAATGAGTGAGCAGACGACCCATGCCTCGATTGTGTCTCAATATCTCTGAGTTGAAATCATGGTTTGATCGAATTGGGTAGTGCAGTCAGTTAAGCACATCAGATAAATGTGGAGTTTGTGGGGAAGAGGTCGTCTGATTCAAGGAACAGACATAGATTTAAAGGCTGTGAAGCTCCCCTCCCATGCTCCATTCTTTCTTGATAATCCAAGGAAAAAATAAAATAAGACATGAGTCATTGTAATAGACAGCCAGAGAATCAGCTCTGTGATCCACAATGGCAGCCGAGCGGCAGGATTTTGTGGCACCGAGCCCCCCTAGTCATTTTCTGAGCTCTGGTCTTATTCCTCCTGACACTCCCATATCCCCAGAGAGAGGATGTCTCTCAGGGACACCGTGAACAAAAGAGGGGCTACTGGAGTCTCCAAATGGAGTAATGGGCCCTAATGCCTGCACAGGCACATAATCAAGACCCCTGCACAGGTTCCCATGACAGATAATTGCTGATGTCTTGGTAGTGATAAATGTGACTCCATTCTAGAGGTGCAAATGTCCCGGTTCAGCCGTGGGTTTGACAATCTAGAGGCCCCACTGGGATTAGTGTACCTGACTGGTCCACAGCCTTCCACAGATGAATCCCTCGCCACTTTCTCTCCTTTAGTCAGCCCTCACTGGGCTGTCTATTTTCCTTTAACCACAGGCCTTCATAGTAAATCTCATTTCATTGTCAGCAGCGACTGTGGTTTACTTCCCTGGCCTGTCTGCTGACTTCCTGTTGCCATTAACGCTCAATATCTCTGTTGGGGCCTGTCTGCTTGGTCTTATTTCATTCTGTGCTGTGTCCTATCCTGTCCTCCCATATAGAAAGTTCATCTGACAGACTAGCAGGGGCTGTGCCAGCCTAAGAGCCCTCTGTATTTCATTCACACTGCCTGTTCATCTCCCTTCTCTTTCTGCTGAAAAAGGGTAGTAATTGATATTGGGACCCATCTATCCTCCCCTCTTAAGCCCAGAGATCCAATTTATCTTGGTGAGAATGCCGATTGGCTCTCGCCCAAGCCTTGTCGGTCAGACTTTGCCTGTTTTTAGATGGCCGTTAATTAAAGTTCCGCCATGACAAAAATAAGATCTACATGGGGGTGTGTGTGGCAATAGCAATGGGCCATCTGATTCACACTTGACCACATAAATCAGCGAAGTGGCTCAGTCTAATCTGACCTAGGCAGTCTAAATCACCACTCTCAAATGCAAGCACAGAGCAGACACAGACCGGTCCAATTAGATCCAATTCCATCCATGTAAATCTTTAACTGGCTTAATCTGCATTAACCTCAGTGATGTTAGTCACAAATGGCTCCAGAATGATCTAGTCAATCACCATGTCAGTCGGACTAAAGATGGTGGGAGGAGACTGCGCAAGAGAAACAGTACAAAGTCAATGCCGAATTGCACATTTGCTTTAAATGGGTGGGTTTACTTTACTAAAAAAATATTCTTTTAATACAAATGAGCTAATCTAATTTATAGAATGTCAGACATGCATTGAATCACAGTGAATCTGACTCAAATAACTTTTAGGTGGTTTAACTATCTATGCTATGCGGATTCCATATATATGTGATGATTTTAGGGAAGTGATGCTCTGATTGCTCGACAAAAACAAACATATTCCAAACTCCTTAAATCATAATACGTTCTACTTTCAGAGAAAGTAACTAGCTCTGTGATGTTTCCATAAGTTTGTGTGTTTGTGCCTATCCGTTGTGTTTGGGGTGTATTCCCCTGCCTCTTATCTGTAACCAAACTTTACTATCACTCTATGGTGATCAAGGGATGGAGATCTCCCCATTCTTTTCAGTTCTCTCTCTCTTTAATTTCTCTCTCTTTCACTCCATGTCTATCTGTCTTGTCTTTGAACCACTCCCAGTGACTGTGAACCTGAGACAGCCCCTCTGCTGGCACAGATGGGAAGTCAATAGAAGCAAGTGACCTATATTACGGACTACTCTACTAACTCCCAGTGTGTCTCAAGTGAGAGCAGAATATTAAGGATTGCGTGTGCGCTGTACCAGTGTATTTGTGTGTTTGTGTGTGTGTTTTTTAAGGGGGGTGTGCAACAGAGACCAGGAGAAGGTTAATTACCTCCTCGTCCTTCGCTGTCGGCTGGCTTCACCTGGATGGGCCGGTTCATCTGGAGAGAGAGAGAGAAGTAGAGGGAGAGAAGGAAAGAGAGAGAAGGGAGAGAAGGGAAATCCCAAGTTAGCACAAAACGATAGGAGCAACCGCTACAATATGTGAACTGGGAAATGAAATGTGGCAGTGTTCCTGGCGTTAATGTCCAGAGTTTGTCCTGTTCTGAGAGCTAAATGCAAAAATCAAACTGACGATGCCGTAAAAGAGATAAATCTGTGCAGTGCTCCATGCCAGCGTGTTTAATTAATCCAGGGCACTGCCTCTAGAGATGCCTGAATTCCCCTCACAGTTCAGCAGAATTAGCACTTTTCAATGACGGAGCCACACTGGGTGTCAGATGGCACTTGGAGATTAATGCCATTACATCAGCCACTCCCAGCCCCACAGGGAGAGGTCCTTTCAGGCTGGCCCTTGCTCTTCCTGTCCCCTCCTGGCTCCAGACTCCCAGTCACCAGCTATATCCTGCTCATCCCTGACCCTTAGCAATCCCTCTTATTCTGCCTCCATCCCTTCCTCCTCCCTCTCACCTCTCTACCCAGAAGCCCCTTTTTCAACTCACAGCCAATATGCCACTGGTCTGGACAGACGACCCCACCCTGCCCCAGCCTCCTCCTCCTGGAAGCTATTGAGAGCCACCGAACAGCGTAGCTGTGAAACAGCTTGTGGAAGGTTAACAGTAGGGAATCGATAAACAACCTTTGAAGATTCATTCTATAGTGAGGTGAAAGCAAAATGTTGCCAAGCTAACATAAAAAAAAAACCTTTTAAAAACTGCCTGCCGTGAATAAAAACTCCCCTGGTTCTTTTTGCTCCCCTGTCTATGGTTTCATTTTTTCTCACTCCCTCGAGTTTGAATATGAAAACAGAAAAACACTCGATCTTGTGCCTTCTCTGAAACAGGAATAATATCCCCTCTTTACTCTGTGAAAAGGGTGGGTGTTAAGAGCCACCCTTGAAGACCCTTGCTTATTGAGGCTACCCACGCATGTCATATTTGGCATTGTGTTTTATATTTGGCATGGTGTTTTTCTGGCTTCAGTCGGCAGTGGGCTTATCTTTCTAACTAGGCCATGCGGACAGGTCCAACATGTGAGTGCCAGTGAATGGCACATGGTACTGCCCCCTCAGATCAGTCAGCTAGGGCAGCACAGTGGGTGTTGGGCCCTCAGGCAACGCAGCACTTGACAGCAGTTGACCACGGCCAAATATAGACCTAAGACTGCTGGACATGTATAGACAAGCGTATACATGGCGACACCCTGGGGACGTAATGTACTCATCTAGCAATATGCTGTGACACTGGAACAAAGCTTAGAGATGACGGATGCATCACAAAGACAAGCAAATGAAGCCGTGCACACACACACACAGTTACATAGACACAGGGGCAGTCACACCCATACAAATAGACCTGGGCACACACTTATCTCCAGATGTAAATGATAACTGTAACTTTGTCTCCTAATATGGAAAAACAGAGGCAAAGGTGCAAATAAGCATCATCTGTTGTTCTTCTTAAGGTGCAAAACATTGATAGTGTTTGACTTTGCAGACAATAACAAACAAATACTGTAACTCAGCACTAACTAGATTTATACCTTCCTCACAAATTTCCTTTCATATTATAGTATGTTGGGGGATGCTGCCTTGCGGTTGCAATGACCATCCTTAAAGGTCATGTTATACTCTTTCAGTGTTTGATGAGTTGAAGCATCACTGAGAAAGACACTGACCTGTTGACTCACTGTTAGTCACTCTGAGTAAACATCATGCGAATGCTAGCAGCATGATTCTAACAGATATTATGTGTCCTTTAACAATTATTAGATTACATTAAAAGTAGAGCAGAGGTGACAAATTAAAATTCAATTGTGATTCCAGATGTTTGAGCTACAGTCCTTACTGTGTTGGGGGCTGGCTTACTTTGGCTCTGGGAGAATGGAGTACACATAGAGTCCTGGTGGTTTGGTTTGTGTTTATAGTGTGGATCAAGGGCTAAAGGGGCATCATTATTTTCACCTTTGTATGGTCTTAAACCAGCCAGACAGTTTCATTCTACTCTTTCTGGCTGGATAACAGCATTCCATATTGCACTGAATATGTTTACATGTGAGTCTGAGGTAAAGTTCAGGTAGGGTGAAGCACTGATGTGAGTGTGCGGTGGGGAGAATTAAGGTCAGTTGGAGCATTGTAAGCAGTAAGTTAAGGTATGCACTGTGTACATATTGTAGGTGTTTGTGTGTGTGTGTGTGTGTGTGTGTGTGTGAGAGAGAGTGTGTCTTTTTACAGCAGCTCGAGTTGGGGCCAGAATTTGTCTCACATAAGAGGTTTAGGGTAGCTTGAAGTCCCAAGATCCCTGTCCAGTGATCAGTCAGCTTCCAGGTCTTAAACAGCAGCGATTGGTCAGGAGGCTTCATTAGTAGCCCCTGAGCCACTGCAGCAACAAGAGTCATTAGACAACCCAAAAGTACACTTGTGGTTGCTAGGCAACCGAGCGGAGGTGGCCGGCAGGCAGTCAAGGCAAGCTGGCCGTTGGTCTGCGGGCTGTTAGCCAACCAATTGGCACTCCTTTCTTTCTTCTTTTTTTCTTTACTTGGTCCAAGGAGGTCATAGTGAGAGGGGAGGAAAAAAGATTTCTCAACTCCCACCTTCCAGCATGTCCCACTTTCATGTCCTTTTTTAGTGACTGTGACAATGAGTTTTCAGAGCGAGTCTGCTGCAACTTCTGCTCCAGCTTCCTGCCAAATTATGGAGTTCAGCTTCATGCCAAACTATGGGGTTGTGAGTAGCACTCACATGAAGATGGCAGTAGTTAAGACGTCTACTTCTTTTAGCTACTTTATAGTTTTACTCTACATACATTTTCTTGTGCAAACAGAGAAAATGTTTCTAGTACAGAAATCGTTGACTTTACTTTACTTTTATCCCCTTCTCTCTCACTCGCTCCTTTTCTCTCTTCCTCTCTTCCTCTCCTCTCTCTTTCACTGTCACACATACACACACAGAGGCACAAAAAGTCTAGGGGCTCAATAACAGCAGGTGGCTTAGGTGACATTTTAATCCCTTATTACTGAGTGCAGGATTAGCCAACAGATCAAGGCAGAGTTAATTATATGAATTCATCAGAGGCTGGGCGAAGAGGCAGCCTGCTTTCCCCTAGGGCCAGGACCCACCCCCAACCCACCACCCACCCTTTGCACACACACACACACACACACACACTCACTCTAAGGAAGAAGACAAGTGACATTCTGTCTGTCTGAGAAGCTAGCTAGCTTCTTGTTAGCATTGCAGCGGCAGAAAGCTAAGATAACACATACAGTGCAGCCTCCAGAGATGCTGTAAGACAAATGACATCTACTACCTTCCCGTTGGGCCCTGCAAAATGAACTGCATAGACATTGGAGAGGAAGACTACAGGCTTTTTCATCCTACAGACGTGTGGCTGCCGAGGCTGAAAGGAGTTCAACACCCCCCCGTCTTGCTTTATCTTTGTCTCTCTCTGCCCCTTTGGCCTCCAAAACCAATATGCTTCCCACCACAGCCCCTTAATGGGTTGATCAATGCTGACAAATAGGCAGCTCATGCTGTCTTGCCTGGGAACTCACAGCTCTGTGCCTGTGTGCTGCTGCACTTAGAGAGGCCATCTCTCTTTCTCCTCATCTCTCCCCTTTTCTGTCTCCCTCCCTCTTTCACTCACTTTTTTTCCTCTCCATACCCCCCCCCCCATGCTCTATTTCCTTTATGTCTATACATTCACTTTTTTCTTTGTCCTAATCTCCAGAGGCAAATCTATACTTTTCATTCTGTTATGATGAATAAAAGTCGGCTGAAGTCACGGAGGGGTGGGAAACCAACAGCGTGGAAGAGAGGAACTTGCTTACATTTTCCAGGAGAGGACTGTGTGTACGTTTCAGAGTGTACGTCCGTGTATGTTTGTGTCCACACACATTTCAGTCATCTATCTTTGGCTAGTCTGTCTGATTGATAACAGTGCAGTGGAGAGAAAGAGAAACAAGGACACTGCTGGCCTTTGACCGTGTTTGACCATGCTTTGTGAATACCACTGCTCACAAGCAAGCAAGGAGAAATGCTATCTACCAGATACTCAACTAAATACAGAAAAATGTTCTCTCAGAACCATAAGAAAAATGTGAGCAGTTCATCCAATGTTGAGTCTCTGTGGTTGTAACTCTTACACTTATTTTCTTTTTGGATGACTAGCATTATCCAGTGTGAAGATGAACTTTTAAGTGATCCAAATACTGATATGTGAATTTAAATGCATTTATTTTTGTAACTCCATGTCAATTGTTACCTTCTATTTCATCTTCTTCTACTCATCTACCCATTTTAGGGACATGTTAAACAACTATGATAACTTAACTGTATCTGCTGTAATAATGTATGCATCAGACAGAACTAAATACAGGTGACAAAAAGATAATACCGATGTCTTCTGTGTAGATATTTGGTAAAGTGAGCACTGGGCTAAATCCACAAATCAAGTTTTTTAAGTGCTGCTCGTGCAAAAAATGTCAAGGCACTCTGAAAAAGGCAGCAAACTAAATGCATACAATACAAAATGAAAGATATTTCCTAACAATGGTTTAACTTGCTAGCTTTGTCATATTGGGCCCTGCTTTAATTATACATTTGCGACAATCCACGCAAGTGCCGCATTCATGCTTGAAAGGTGAGTTGGGTGAAGTGGGATATTAATAGGGGGGTGCGGTGATGAATTATTACCTTCTCAGCCAGTCATATTACTCATCTCATAACTTTGAAACAGCTGTTTTAATCACAGTGGCACATGAATAATATGGCTCACCAAATTAAAGGAAGAGTGTTGACCAGTTTGTAACTCTCTAAGATGAATTTACGTTTGTGGACATACATATCATCAATGTTACAATGCATTGTTTTACAGTGAGAGAGACATTGATTCAATTTAACCATATGTGCAGTGTAACTCTTTTGTACAGTAAAATTTGTCAA